CGCGCGGTCCGGGGGGCGCACGCGGGGAGGCTCGCGGCGTTCGCGCGCTCGCGGGGACGCTTCGGGCCCTCGGATCGCTCGTGCGCGGGGAGGAGAGGGAGGCGGGAGGCTGCCCACGCGCGGGCACTCTCTTGGATCGTCTAGCTCTGGGCACCTGGACGAGAAGCGCTGGCCTTGGAGGAGCGAGCAACAGGCGGCGGCGCGAGAGCGGGAGCGCCAGGCGAGAGCGGGGCGCGCCTAGCCGTCGCCCACGGAGCTCCGAGCTTGCCGGACTGCCCCGCCCCTTGGCAACGGCCCCGCCCCGCCCCGCCGAGCCCGGTGGCCACGGGGAGGGGTGTGGGGGAGAAGGAGGGAGGGCGGGAATCCCGCCGGGATTGCAGCCTTTGCCGAGAACCCACGGGTGGAAAGGGGCTGGAAGGGGTCGGGAAATCCCGACAGCTCCGCCTCCCTCTAGCCGAGCGACTGTCTGTTTGGGGCATGAAAATCTTCCCAAGGTGTCCATTCCAGTATTTGGTGCTCTTAGAGGTTAAGTTCTTCGGGAAATCTGATCTAAACCTCTTCTCTCTTTACTTAAGGTTGGGTGAGCTTTAGGTTGCTGCTGTGTCCTGTGATGTTGCCCCTGCGCTGAGCCGGGAGGGGGGCGCTTGGGGAGCTGGCCGCGTTTCTGCTCAATGACAAGTGTTCTCTGCCCCATCACCACATCCCATCCCTGCTCCTCCATCCCACCCTTATTTAATTTTTAAAAATGTTTTGTTATTATAAAGGTGATGTACAGAGGGGTTAACATTTAATGGGGGGGGGGAAGGGGGTTGGTGGTGGGGCTTGAACTCGGCCTGGGCACTGTCCCTCAGCTCTTCAGCTCAAGACTAATGCTCCTCCACTTGAGCCACAGCGCCACTTCCAGTTTTCTGGTGGTTAATTGGAGATAAGAGTTTCATGGACTTTCCTGCCTGGGCTGGCTTTGAACTGCAGTCCTCAGATCTCCCCATGAGTAGCTAGGATTACAGACATGAGCCACCGGCGCCCAGCTCTTATTTAATTTTTTTTGGGAGGGGGGGCCTGAATTCTGGGCCTGGGCGCTGTCCCTCAGCTCTTCAGCTCAAGACTAACGCTCTACCACTTGAGCCACAGCGCCACTTCCGGCTTTTTTCTTTTTGCTTATGTGGTGCTGAGGAATCGAACCCAGGGCCTCATGCATGCAAGGCAAGCGCTCTACCATTGAGCCACCTTCCCAGCCCCTCTAATTTAATTTTTAATGAAACAAACTTACAGAAAAATTTGGTAAACTAGTTTTAAAGTATGGGGTTGCAAATTTTTTTTAAAAAACTAAAATTTCATAATTCTGCCATGTAGCAAGAATCAATGTTATCATCTAGGTACACATTCTTCCCAGTCTTTTCTATTTATGCGGGCCCATGTTCATGCCTATGGTAATTGTGCATGCTGGTTTAAAAAAAATTATCTTTAAGTAGCTGTATAAAAGAGTTGCCATTTAACAAAGCAGTTTGATCTTGATAGTTGGTCTTCTGCTTTTAACTAATTTGATTTCTTTAGCAAAGTGTTCAGTTCTGGATTTTCCCCATTTTCTGACTTCGATGGACCCTGGACTTGGAGCCCATGCCCTTGACTGACTCGAGCTGAAAATGGATGTATGTGCAAAGAAAGGAGGTAGTTGTTGGGCACTGCTGGCTCATGCCTATAATCCTAGCTACTCAGAAGGCTGAGATAATGAGAATCACAGTTCAAAGCCAACCTGGGCAGGAAAGCCTGTGAAACTCTTACCTGCAGTTAACCAGCAAAAAGCCAGAAGTGAAGGTTTGGCTCTAGTGGTAAAGTACCAACCTTGAGGGGAAAAGGCCAAAAAGATGGCACCCAGGTCCTGAGTTCAAGCCCTAGTACTAGGGGATGCATGCACGCACGCGTTCGTGCGCACGTGCGTGCGCACACACACACACACACACATGCACACGGTTGACATATTTACTTCTTCCAGTTTTGTTTTACTTTGTAATTAGGGACAAAATGAAAGAAGCTAACTGATCAAGTCCTGGCTATTTGGGGCTGGTGGCTTTAAGAGCAGCTATTTGGCTTCCTGGGCTGTTGTAGCAGGTTTTTGGTCAGAGCTCTATTTGTACACATACTGTGGCCACTTCTGTGTATAGATATCCTGTAAGTCAGGAGTAGGGATCCTGCGTGACCTGAACACAGCCAGCTGTTCCTGCCCAGTGCTCCCTCTTTCTTTTTCTCCCTTCTGTCCTTTCCAGGGCCACTGGTCCCAGTCTATTTCGTTGCTATGGGTGTGCATTAACTCTTCAGTCTTGTGTTAACCATGGAAGGCAAAGGTCCTTGATTGCTGCTTTACAAATCCCACACATTGAGCAAATTCCTTATCTTATTCTTTCTCACAGTTTCTAAGAGCCAGGAATCTGGAAGCAACTTAGTTGGTTGTTGGTTCTGGTTCTGAATTCCTCATGAAGCTGTGGTCAAGATGTTGGCCAGGCCACAGCCTTCCTCAAAGCTGGACTGAGGGTAGCAGGTGGACCGCCAATACCACCCTTTCAGTAAAAGGATGTCAGTAAGAGGCCTCCACATTTTGCTAGTTCTTGGCTGGGAGATCTTAGTCTCCTGCCATTGGCTACTGGTTTCTCTGTGGGGCTTCTTCAGTGACTTCATGTCACAGCAGCTGCCTTGTCTCAGAATCATTCTTTTGTTGTTAGTCCTGGGGCTTGAATTCAGGCCTGGATGCTGTGTCTTGGCTTTCTCACTCAAGGCTGGTGCTCTATCACTTGAGCCACAGCTCTATTCTGGCATTATTATTTTATTTTTTGGTGGTGGTGGTTAGAGATGAGTCTCATGGACTTTTCTGCACTGGCTAGCTTCAAACTGCAATCTTCAGATCTGTTTCCTGAGTAGCTAGGATTATAGGTGTGAGCCACTGAGACCCAGCTCTCAGAACCCTCTTGAAAAATATGCCAGAAGGTGAACCACTGGAAGGTGAACAGAATGAGGTGTTCACTCTCATTGTTGTTTATCCAGTAAGCCTTGTGGAAGGTCACTAACTCCTATTGACAGATGAGAAAATGGAGACTCAGAAAGGAGAAAAATCTTGCTTGAGGCCGCATAGCTGGAAATGGGTACTGCTAGGGTTTAAACCCTTTTAGTTATCTTACAAATGAGCCCAAACATGTGCCAACGTTTGCTAGGCATGAGCGGGGATGTGTGAGAAATATTTGGCTGTCAGGGAAACACTGGAAGTCCAAGGCCTAAGGAGGAGTTGGGTGCCAATCAGATTGTCTCCCCTTCTCTGGAAAAGCAAGGGCCTTTGGGCCTAGCTGCCACCCACATAGGACTATTTTTGCCCTCTCCCTCAGTGACAGCCTCATCTCCCAGCTCTGGAAGGGCCATGTGGGCAGTCTGGCTTCCCAGGAGAGGATCTAATGTCCTTCTGTCCCTGCAGCTGGTTCTGAATGAACTGGACCCTAGGGCATGGCTGGCCGGTGAGGGTCAGTTTGAAGTACCCTTCCCCACACCCAGAGATTGAGAAGACCTCCCTAATTAATGCTATTGACTGGTTAGGTCTGTGGGAACTGAAATGTCTGCTTTGGAGGCTATTGTTAAACATTCATATCTTAAACAAGGTTAATAAAGTACTCCCCACCATGCCCAAGCCATTGTAAGGAAGAAGTATAAATGATTTCATTTGCATATTTAACTATACCCCCCTTCTGCTTAGAAAAATGCAAATAGATATCTGACAAGACAATGTACTTCCAGAATGCCTGCCTTGAGAGCCCTTGAACAGAATTAATTTGGGGAAGTCATTTTCAAACAGCATCCCCTTGGATCTGTTTATGCTATTCTTTTTTCCTCTCTCTCTCTCTCTCTCTCTCTCTCTCTCTTTCTTTTTCTTCCTTATTTACTTTCTCTCTCCCTTTCTTTTTTACTTTCTTTCTTTTTCTTTCTCTCCCTCCCTCCCTCCCTTCCTTTCTCTCTTACTTTCTTTTTCTCTCTCCCTCCCTCCCTCCCTTCTTCCTTTCCTCCCTCCCTTCTTCCTTCCTCCCCCTCTCTTTCTTCCTTCCTCCCTCCCTCTCTTTCTTTCTTTCCTTCCTTCCTTCCTTCCTTTCTTTCGTTCTTTCTTTCTTTCGTCAAACTCTTCCTGGAGCAGGCTAAGGTTGCTTTCTATCTAGTTCCTTTCCAAACAGACTCACATTTCACTTTGGCAGAGGGATGCTACTGACATTTTACTACATCTGGTACAAAATTCAAATAAAGCCAGGCATAGGTGGCTCACGCCTGTAATACTAGCTACTCAGGAGGCTGAGATCTGAAGATCGAGGTTGAAAGCCAGTCCTGGCATGAAACTCCCTGAGAATCTTCTCTCCAATAAACCACTCAGGAAACCAGAAGTGGCGTTGTGGCTCAAGTGATGGAGCACTCACCTTGAGCTGAAGAGCTGAGGGACAGTGCCCAGGCCCAGAGTTCAAGCCCCAAGACTGACAAAAAAAATAAAAATAAAATAAAATTCAAATAAACACAGCTTGTCCTGTGAGTGAGCCCCTGCTTTGCTTAACAGAAGTGAGTGGGTGAAAGCAGAGAGAGGGAGACCCACTGGTGTTCAGATCACAGTGGTTTTATGCAAAGCAGTGAGCAGTGGCTTTGAGGTCTCTGCAGCTGTGGAAAGGGGCAGTGCAGGTATCAGTGCCACCCAACGGGGAGAAGA